AGAGACGAATGGCTCGCCAAAACATTATGGGCTACACCCTTTCCTTCACGGAACCAAGCCTTGCGCTTTTTCCATTGCCAAGCGCTTATCTGGGGCCCGAGCTTTTTAGTGCTCCCCACTACTATAATGCTTTGCGAATTTCTGGGGACGGACCGCGCTTTTTTACGGATCATGTTCTACCCACCGCTTTTATGCCGAATAGAAGGCCAGATTAAAAATTGCACATCACTATAAAAATTTAAAGGCACTCCGCATGGAGCGCTTTCTTTCGACTTGGTTCCTCTTGCTAAGCGAAACGCGAAAATTCTGAGGATATTCTATCAGTCACTGTTAATATTATTGACAAATAATATACTATACATGCAATGTTTTGGGGAGCCATTCGTCTCTATCCGTTGGCCATTAGTTCAGGCAACATATCTCATAACCGAAAATGGTCAAGTTCGAAAACCCCAAAAATCAAACACCGAAAAATCAAAGACTGAAAAATCAAATCTTTAATCTTTAATTAAAATTATTTACACACGGTAGTCTATTCAGTGGATAATTATTTACAAAACTGGTTTTCAAAAGGCCGTGTATCTATCAATATACTAAGCTATTAAACACAAAATATATATAAACAAATAAATAAAGACTATTTACAAAGTTGCAGTATTAGCATCAATTTTATACCTAATTATATAATCGCCGTTTAAACGATAAGATTGATAGTTTATTGTAATTTTCGATGGTTTCACTTGAAAGTTCGTTCCACGATTTCGCAGCTCTATATGAGAAGCTCCTTTTGAGGAAATTTGTCTTAGGTTTGGGTTTGGGAAGCGCCAATTTGGTTTGATTACTTCTTAGATTGTAATTGTTGTTTTGGCATCTTGTGAACAGTTTTACAAGATATTGAGGTAATCGACCAGTTAATGCTTTGAATGTCATTATTAGTTCTCGTTTTTTTAAAAGTTCCTCAATTGGAAGCCAATTAAGATTATTTAGTATTTGTGTGGAACGAACATCGTACGTGTCCCCAGTTATCACACACGCAGCTCTCTTTTGTAATTTAAATAATTTATCAATTATCGAGCAAGACCCATCGTTCCAGATTGTTGAACAGTAATTGAAGTGTGGCCACACCAAGGCATTGTACATTTCTATTAAAGTTTCTCTGGGAACAAACGATCTTGCCCTTTTCAAAAGGGCGATCTTATTTGAAATTACTTTGCATTGTACATCATTATGCTTGTCCCACTTCAATTGCTCATCTAGAGTCATGCCAATTAAGTGACTTTTTTTCAAAAACGCGTTTGATATTACTTTCCCCCAATGTTAGTACTGGGCTATTTTCAATTGAAGTTATACGATGTCTTGATCCTATTATCATGAACTCAGTTTTTTTTCATGTTTAAGGAGAGTTTATTAGCTGTTAGCCACCTGTGAACATTTTCAATGTCTTTCTTAAGTTTGGTCTCAATTTCGTGAGGACGTAACCCTTCACAGGAAAGGTTTGTGTCATCAGCAAATAAGTTTGCTTTAGTTGACTCTAAGCAATTGGGAAGATCATTGATATACAATAGAAATAGAATAGGACCAAGGTTAGAGCCCTGTGGTACCCCACATCTTATTTTTCTAGCAGATGACAACTTGCCATTCACAGAGCAGATTTGGTTTCTACCTCTAAGGTATGAATCGAACCATTTAAGGCTATTCCCTCTAATACCGTATAATTTAAGCTTTGATAAAAGGATGTGGTGATCAACAGTATCAAAAGCTTTTTTAAGGTCCAGAAATAAAACTCCGCTAAGTAAGCCTCTATCCATGTTGTACAGCCATTCGTTTGTGGAGCTAAGAAGCGTGGTTTCCGTAGAATGTTGGGGACGGAACCCAGATTGCTGCTCCACAAGAATGTTATTTAATGTCATAAATGATCTTAACTGTTGGTATACCAGTTTCTCAAATAGTTTAGCCACTACAGAGATTACAGATATTGGTCTGTAATTTCCGCAGTCAGCCTTATTTCCTTCCTTGAAGACTGGAGTCACTTTCGCTAGTTTCCAATCGTCAGGGAAAATCGCCCTTTGAAAAGATACATTGAAAATGTTAACCAATGGCCCAGCAATGATATTAGTTGCATCTTTTAGTAATCTTGTACCGAAAACCCAAAAATCAAAAACCCAAAAAGCGATCGGCATAGCCAGATTAACGTTTCGCGTAGCCCGTGGCATATTACTAGCTCGGGACACCTAACCCAGTTAAGACCTATGACACGAACAACTACGACATATAGACCAGGTACATGGCATACCTGCATTATAACTATTTTCTAATTACTGTGCGTATGTTCTTGACAAAAAAGATTTAAACATAGACTGCGAAGGTCTGCAGGACAAGCTATTTTACACATACAATTCCAGAGAGGGACAATACGGTTCACAAAGACGACTGGAAAGCACTTGTTTTACACGACGCAACTTTAAGTACGAGAGCAGGATTTTCACAGTTACGAGTACGATTATGACTAACAAACGACACAAAATTAGAAATATTTAAATCGTAAAATCCATTTAGCAACATAAAGAAAATGTCAAATCCTTGATCTCTCTGTCGTATGTCAACGGGAGAGGATTTAACATCTGCAATCGATCCCTATATATATGTGAGGTCCCGCGTTTGGAGGATCCATCTTGTGGCGCGCCTTTGAACTCTCTTATACTGCGACGGTGACCAGACTTTTGCAGCGAAACATAGCTGGGATTTTACCAGGGATTTTACCCTGTTAGGAGGGAACATGTTCTTCGTAGTAGACCCAGCATTATATTGGCCTTCCTAACAATCCGCGATATATGCGTGTTCCGACAGAGGTTACTTGTCAAAGTGATCCCGAGATCAACTTCACTGTCCACGCGTTTCAAATCTGCAGAACCAAGATGGTAATTGACGATGAACGGCCTTCTACTGCGGACGATTGTCATTATTTTGCACTTAGAGGTGTTGAATGTGATGTTTGAATCAACGCTCCAAACTCCAGCGTACGACAAGGCGGTCTACAGGCAAGCACTATCCTCGTTAGACGTTATAGCCCTGTTTATGCCTTCAGCATAACCATTGGATGTTTATGCTGTAACCATTGGATGTTTATGCCATAACCATTCGATGTTTATGCCGGCATAACCATTCAACTGGCATGGTTATGCCGTTGAATATCTTCGGCATAACCATTGGATGTTTATGCCTTCAGCATAACCATTGGATGTTTATGCCATAACCATTCGATGTTTATGCCATAACCATTCGATGTTTATGCCGGCATAACCATTCAACTTGGGTGTTTATGCCGTTGACTGTTTTCGGCATAACTATTCAACTTGGATGGTTATGCCGTTGACTGTCTTCGGCATAACCATTCAACTTGGATGTTTATGCCGTTGAATGTCTTCGGCATAGCCATTGGATGTTTATGCCTTCGGCATAACCATTGTATGTTTATGCCATAACCACTGGATATTTATGCCGGCATAACCATTCAACTTGGATGGTTATGCCGTTGACTGTCTTCGGCATAACCATTCAACTTGGATGGTTATGCCGTTGACTGTTTTCGACATAAGCATTCAACTTAGATGGTTATATGCCGTTGAATGTCTTCGGCATAACCATTGGATGGTTATGCCGTTGAATGTCTTCGGCATATAACCATTCAACTTGGGTGGTTATGCCTTTGAATATTATCAGCATTCCCTAATGAAAACATTAAAACTATTTGTAGACGATTTGAAGCCCGGTGAATTCCGGTGAAATAAGCCGGTGCCTTGTGTGAAATTTTCTCCATTCGCACCCTGTTCCATCGGACTTTAAACAGTACTTAAAAAACTCATTAATAAATCAGGAGGAAAACACAAAGAAAAATCATAAGCGTGTCGTATCTTTATACGTGATAAAAAATCATGTTAATTTACATAAACTTTAGCTTTGATTTTCCCGGTTTAGACAAAGTTTATTTTAAAAATTACTTCGCCAATGAACTCATATAAGATGAGTCGTTTTTTAAGCCATTTAAAGCACTTGTAGTCGTGTTTTATCAGATATAATATATCTGATAAAACACTCCTGCTCGTTTATTAAACAGTACATAAAAAGCTTACCGTATTTACTCGTTTAAGCGCCGCGGCGCTCTTTAAATTTTCAGAGCTTCAGATGCGGCACTCATTCTGGGGCGGCGTTCAATCGGGGGCGGCGCTGTTTAAAAAAACTTCTATTTGTGGTTTATAACAAGAACTTTTAACAATAAAACAAACAAGTTTTAAAAGATTTTTGTCACCAGATGTTCCCATTTTGACGGCGGAAAGTTTTTATACTTTTCAGTGCGGCGCTCTTTAAAAAAATAGGTACGCGACGCGTACATGTATCTGCGAAAAAACTTGATGCACATTTTGTATTTTCTTGAAAGGAACTGAATAATGAAGATGACATGGGACAATTGAAATTTTCATCACTTATTATAATATAATAGCAAATAAGATTTTAAAGTCAAACATAATACACATCTAACAGGGCTGTACACGCGTAAACTAAACGCTCAGGTTGATGCAATACTGATGAAAACAGGACTGAACAATGTTTTGCTGCCCACATTGTTCATAGCTGTCAACAATATTGAACAATATTGTTACACCCGATTCAGGCTCAACATTGTTCAATGTTGGTGACAAGTGTGAACAACGTGGGCAGCAAAACATTGTTCAGTCCTGTTGAGCAGCGGGCTTGGCGTTTTTTGCCGTGTACACAGTGCGGAGGGCAGCAGGAGCAATTCCCTCACCCCTCCACCCGCCGCTGAGAAAATTTAATTAACTAATTTTATAATGCGATTATGATTGTAACAGATAATTACGCTGTCATTGTCTATACAGCCGGCAGCCAGCTATTTAGTAAACTGTCACTTGTCAATCCATACTCATAGAGTTTTCAAAACTTTATTGTAATCATATGAATCCATACTCATAGAGTTTTCAAAACTTTATTGTAATCATATGAAGCAAAAGTTCGGTCTCTTGTTGTTTACACTTGGCAATGTTAACTATTGAGTAGCATACACAAACTATTCGAGGAACATGCATTACTGTAGCAATGAGTCAATCATATATCGAAGATCACTGAATAGTAGAGAATGTTTTGAAGGTCATGAGTGAAGTATATAATTCAATTCCAATTTTGTGCATAGTTAATGATATACCACACTGTTCGGTTTAACACAGCATATCCACACAAAAACAATTTAGTTTTGCACATTGTGTGCAATTGATCTGATCTATCCATATGATTATTGTAGCTGTTAAATTGACATTTTGACTACTTACCAGTTGAGGATAAGTTTCCATGTTGATAATAGAATGGCGAGAAAATAAGACAAAAAGATATTTTTGAAAATCCAAAATGGCGAGAATACCTAAATAACACAAGGCCAGACCATGCCCGTTCGCAGGTTAGATGGCGGACACGATGTAACATAATCGCTGATTGGCTTAAATTATATAAGCTCGTCGCTGAATGGCTATGTGTTAACATAAGGTAACATTACGGTACAGTACGGTACGTTTGCGATAGCATATATATCTGCTTCGCAGATACAAAAATTTGATCTCAAATGCGGCGCTTATTCGGAGGCAGCGCTCAATCGGGGGCGGCGCTCAATCGAGTAAATACGGTATATGTACAAGGCTGGAGGGAGCTCGTGGCATATTATTAGCCGTTGAATGTCTTCGCATAACCATTCAACTTGGATGTTGATGCCTTTGACTGCCTTCGGCATAACCATTCAACTTGGATGGTTGTTGAATGTCTTCGGCATAACCATTCAACTTGGATGTTTATGCCATTGAATGTCATCGGCATAAACATTCAAATTGGATGTTTATGCCGTTGACTGTCTTCGGCATAAGCATTCAACTTGTATGGTTATGCCGTTGAATGTCTTTGGCATAACCACTGGATGTTTATGCCTTCGGAAATAACCTTTGGATGTTTATGCAGGCATAACCATTCAACTTGGATGGTTATGCCTTTGACTGTCTTCCGCATAACCATTCAACTTTGGTGGTTATGCCTTTGAATATTATCATTGGACATGTAAAATTTAATAACAATCTCATGTATAGAAATACTATAATACAAAACTACGCCTATCACATAACAACTGTCATTTTTGTTTAATTTAATACATCAGCTTCAGATGGCACCATTCATTTGTAATGATTAAGATTGTACTGAGTCAGAACTTCAAAACTATATAATAAGAAAGAAATTGTGAGCATTATCGAAAAAATATAGTATACCCTGAAATGTAGTTACACAGCCAGGTGAATATATGAGTGTACTATGTAGGCCGGTAGGATTACTCCTTATTATGCTGACAATGGACATATCTCAGAGATATATTTTTACAAACCGTCATGCCTTGTACAAGTCGGTTGACATGCTATTACATGTAACTGCTGGTAAGTTAATATGTGCAGACAACCATGGGCAGATTTACTGGGGGGTTAGTACTGAGTATAACACTCTGAGGTGTTATAAAGTGTTCAACCCCACCAAAATTTCACTTCGTCCCTCCTACTTTGTGTGAAAGCCTTTAACCCTAACCCCTGCCAAAGCTCAGTGGTGCTGCTTGCACCCCCACTAGAAAATGTTTGGCCACCCCTCCTTTTAAAAAATGAAAATCCGCCCTTGCAGACAACAATCCACACTGGATTGCTATAGGAATATCTTTATAATATTAAGCTCTGCCACACAACATTCCACGTTTGTTTTTAAAACGTGCAGAAATGGCTGAAGCACATGCATTGCTGTAAACATGTAGAATAAACACTATAAACTCATCGCCTTTGGAAATCACCACACAAACAAATAAACTAAAAGTAGATTTTGACTACTTGTATATATTATTAACTATAAAGACGATCACTAAGTGCAGGGTAAATTCTGAAATGCATGATAAATTCATGCTGAATCTAAATTCATGAAATCATAGTGTTCTAAATATAAATGCCTTCATGTATATTACCAAAACGAAATAAAGCTATCCTTACTTGAATTATTGAAAATATTGTCCATGTTTGCATCATGAAAATAAGCTCATAACTGTCCTTGAGAACTTGAGAAGAACTTGATCCGTGTGCAATACAAAATAAAGTTTGACCGCCCCGTTTAAAAACTTCCTGAAGCCTTAATTATTTCCCCGGAATTACGACATCTTTACTTTACTTTATTAAGTTACGGTCTATACACTTACAAGTCTCCAAAATCGCAATATTTACCACAACAAAATGGCGCCAAAAGTCCGTCCGATAAATTGTGCGCCGCAAAAATGTTCGAAAGTTAAACGTATAGATTACGCTGTTCACAACACTCCCGGGGTTGATCATCTATAAATGATCAAAGATATAAAGAAATTAAACTCAACTAAATAGTATATCGTTGGTATAACTCAGCTCTAAAACGGTCTGCAGCTATCGCTGCTTTTCTTCTTGGTCTTGCACTTTCCGTTTCTTCTTCTTCAACGCTGTTAACTGGGGGTTGATTGCATTCGGGTTCTGGTAACTGCGCTTTGACTTCAAGTGGGATGAGATGCTGTATCGGTCTTCGCAGAATTACTTGCTTTCCACCGTCTCCTTGAACCTTTACTCTTGCCGCTCGTATAATTCCATCCTTGCTTGGAATGAGTTCTTCCACCTTTCCGAACTTCCAAAATACACGTTTGGTACTGTCATTTCTGAGGATAACAATATCAGCAATCTTAATCTTAATCGTTTCTTTTGACGGTTTCGCGGATAATTTCGCCGACTCTCGAAGACTGAGTAAATCTTCCTTTCTCCACTGTTTAGTGAACTGATCAAGCATTCGCTGCTGGTGCTTCGCTCTTTTCGTTAGAGTTTTGATTGTGCTGACTACTTCGTAATGTCGGTGATTCAAATGAGACGAAATTTGACGTCCATAAATGAGATGTGACGGTGTGAGAGCATACGATACTCCTTCTTCGTCATCGTAGATGAATGTTAATGAACTTAATAGACGATTGTTGATGGTAGTTTCAATTTCAACGAGCAGGGTTCTGAGCTCTCCGAATGTTACAGAACCAGTTCCGATTGACTTTTTCAAACGTTTTACACAGCTGCGTACCATTCTCTCGTAAAACCCGCCGTGCCAAGGAGCTTTCTCGATTATATACTTCCACACGACGACTCTGTTGACAAAATATCTTTCGGTTTCCTTCGATGTGTATATACTCGTTATTTCTCGTGAAGCTGCTTTAAAGGTCTTGGCGTTATCTGTAAATATCGTACTTGGTAAACCTCTCCGACTCGTAAATCTTCTGAATGCTTGAAAGAATGTTGGGACAGACAGATTCTCGACAAGTTCTAAATGAACTGCTCTCGTTGATGCGCAAGTGAAAAGAGCAATATAAACCTTTTCTGAATCCTTGCTACCGGATTGACTCGGTAATTTCACGAACAGTGGACCGGCAAAGTCAATTCCCGTGTTCGTAAATGGTGGTTCTTCACTTACACGCTCAGGTGGCAATTGTGGAATCTTAGGGATTGCAAAGGGTTTGCCTTCCATTCGTTTGCACACGACACATTTCTTGAGCACTCTTTTAACTGATTCTCGAGCACGTAATATCCAATAATCTTCTCGATCGAATGCGAATTAGTAGGTCGGTATACCAGTGTCTCGATGGTAAAAGGATAGGTTGCTTTGTTACATCTTGATGAGATGAGTGCTGGATTCGTCCTTCGCATCTTATAATTCCATGCTCATCCAAATACAACGATAATTGACTCACGATCTGTTTCGGTGATTTTTTCGATCCCTTTAGATATTGCAACTCGTCTGGGAACGTCTGTTCTTGAATAGCTTTAATACACATTCTTTCGGCTTGCTTCAACTCGTCTGCCATTAATTCTATGTTTTTTGGCACGCGATCATCGTGTCTCCAGATCTTTGCGCATCTTTGGACAGTTGCCATCACTCGCAGTAACCGTAATTTCGTACTGTATCTATTGCAATCTATGATCTCGTCAATTTTTCCTAAAATCTCGCCACGTTGTGATAAGTTCACAAGAGATCGAACAACTGCAGGTGGTGTCTTCCTCATTTCTGAGAGAGCAACTTCTTCGTTATCCATACCATTCGTCAGTGGTTGTTCAGGCCAACTCTCCTCGGAATGTTTCCAAAACTCTGGTCCGCTCCACCAGGTTTGATTCTTTGAAAGTTCTTCTGCATTGCAACCTCGCGAGGGCAAGTCCGCAGGATTTAGTTCTCCTTGCATAAATCTCCAATGGGTTGGATCAGAATGTTCTCGTATTTCCTCGACTATATGCTGCACATATGGTTTCCAAACCTTGTTGTTTCGAATCCAACAAAGGGTCGTAAGCGAGTCTGTCCAATAATATTCTTCGGGTGGTATCCTCAAAGACACCAGAGATTTCTCGATAGTTTTCATAAGTCTAGCCAAAATGGTGGCTCCGAGTAATTCTAAACGAGGGATAGATTGTCGTTCTATGGGTGCCACACGAGCCTTGGATGCACTAGGTTCACTTCAATGTCTCCATTCGCATGTTCCGTACGCAAGTAGACTACCGCCGCATATGCCTTGCACGATGCGTCACTGAAACCATGTAGCTGATGACCAACTGGATCGCCTTCCCTCCAAGAGAAATAACATCTAGGAACTCGAATATTCTTCAATGCGTTCATATCTGCTATCAGTCGATTCCACCACGATAACAACTCTGGCGTCAATTCATCATCCCAATCGTAGTCGGACGAACACAACACTTGAAACAGTACCTTCATATGGATAGTAAGGGGAGTTATCAAACCGATAGGGTCGAAAATCTTCGCAGACAACTTAAAAACTGATCTTTTCGTAGGGGGCAACGTTTCGGCATACTTCACCAGATCTGAATGCTCTTGATGTAAAGTATCTGTTTTAACGTTCCAGCGCACTCCCAATACCTTAACTGAATTGACTGGTGATTCAAGGTTTTCCTCCGGTTCATGCTTACTCCCGGGGGTAGCAGACTCTACTACGTCACCAGGTTTACCTGACACCATCTCTGCATTCACAACATTCTCTGGATTGTTAACGGTGACGTTGATTTTCGCGCGTAAAGCCTCCGAATTGGTATGCCACTTCCTAAGGCGAAATCGTCCCCGATTCATTAACTCAGATGACTGTTCGTAAATTCGATTTGCGTCCTCATCAGTTGATGCACCAGTAGCTAAATCGTCCACGTAAAATGACTCTTGAAGCAAGGATACGACTTCAGGAGCTTGATCTTGTTGTTTATTAAAGTGATGCTGAAATACCGAGGATAGGATGGCTGGACTTGAAGTAAGACCAAAGGGCAAACGGCAAAATTGGTACTTCACGATCTCTGGATTTTCTTTGTTCACATCATCAAACCACAACGCATCATCCGTCGATCTTCAGGTACAATTGGGACTTGATGAAGGGCCTTTTCGACATCAGCGGTCATAGCAATGGGATATCCTCGGAATTTAATAAAAACATCGAACAGATGTGGTACCAGATTGGGCCCTGTTTCTAAACATTCATTGATCGATAAATTAGTGTTATCTGGCTTGGCGGACCCATCAAATACAACTCGTAATTTCGTTGTTTCCTTATCGCTTCGAATTACTCCGTGCTGGGGAAGGTAGTATGTCCCTTCATCTGGCTCGTTTTGAACAAGAACACGCTCCACAATTCCGTCCTTTGTTTGCTGCTGGATTACCTTGTTGTACTCACAGAGAAATTCTTCATTTCCCTTCAGTTTCCTATGAAGCTGTCGTAAACAATTAACACATGATATATATCCATTAGACCTTGGTATCTGGCCAGACTTCCACGGTAAATTCACTTCGTAACGGTTATCCGAATCGTTGTAACGTATTTCTCGTAGAAATTCTTTGTTCGCTGTCAAACTGTCGTCGTTCTGTATACCAATCGATTCAACTTCCCAGAATTTGCCCAATTGATATATTAGAGCCTTGCTTTCATCTTCATGATAGGGGTTGTTCATTAACCAAGGGTTTTCTTTAGCAATAATGAGGTGAGTCATCGAAGGGTTGTTACTGCTACTGGCAACCCCGTCCGCAGGCCCCGAAAGCATCCATCCAAACTTCGTGTCGAACGCAATCGGTCCTTCGTTTCCGCGTCGAACCTCGTCCTTGACAACATTATAGTAATGGTCGGCACCAATCAAAATGTCAATCTCGGACGAAGAATCTGTGACAAGACTTGCATCAGCTATTTCTAAGCCATCCAAATGTGGATAGGATTCAACATCTAATTTCAATGGCAAGGGTGCACATATTTTAGGAAAACTGAGTGTATTTATCATGTTTCGCTCGCTACTCTGGTTTAAATAAATTATTACAAAGCCCAGTCGAATTGTAATCAAGACCCAACGTTTCGACACTCCAGTCTAGTGTCTTCATCAGGGGTGATCTAAAACTGCGATCGTGGCTTCTTAAATACCCAAGGGATGACGTCACCTGCCAAGGAGATGCATATATTCTTCTGGCAAATAGGCGCCGTCATCCCTATTCAAAGCATGATGACTCATATTTATATGCCACGCTTCTAGGCAAAGTCTTTGACCATAGCGAGTTTAGAGTTTAGAGGCCATTTAGAGTTTTCCCACGCAATCTCGTGTTTGGTGTAACATACATGTTCGGCTAAAGCTGATTTTCCCTTGTCTAAAGTTGAAACAGCCTTTTGATGTTCTTTTAGCCGTGTACCAAACTGTCGTTTAGACTGACTCAAATACTCTTTATCGCAGTCACCGCATGGTATAGAATATATAGCATGAGTCTTCTGATTTTTTTCAACAGGATCTTTTGGCTTTGCGAAAATATGGCCTAAGGTCAAATAGGGTTTTAAGGCAACCTTAATATTACAATTACTTAAGATTCTCTTGATTGGTTCTGTGACACCTTGAATGTATGGAACTATTGCAAAACCCTTAACAGAGGTATCACCCTCGGAGTTATTTTGGTTCCTACAAACAGGTGGTCTCAGGCAATCATTAAGAAAACGCATTGGGTAATTGTTTTCCCCTAAAACATTTAGAACATATTCACGTTCATTAGCTTGAGAATCACTGTTTGACGGCAACGATTCAGCTCTTTGAAGCAAAGTTTTTGCTACGGATCTTTTATGGCTTACTGGGTGATAAGAGTCGTATGACAAGTATTTGTCTGTGTGTGTGGGTTTGCGATAAACATCAGTCTCTAACTTCCCTTCGACAGTTCTGTGTACATTCAAATCTAAAAAAGCTAAATGTCCATTTATTTCACGTTGTACCGTGAATTGGATGGACGGCTCAATAGAATTTAAATGTTGCAGCAGAATATCGATCTCATTTGTAGAAACCGCAGAGATGACATCATCGACGAAACGTTTCCAAAACGATAGGGACAAAAAAATTCCTGTCATTTTGCAGAATTCCTGTCATTTTGCAGAATTCCTGTCATTCCGAAAAAAATTCCTGTCATTTTGCAGAATTTGTAAGAGGTAAAACTCTTAAAGCAGATCAAGTGTTGGTATCATTTGATGTCGTTTCCTTGTTTACAAATATCCCAGTTGATCTTGCCATCAAGGTTGCGGCAAAAAGACTAAGACAGGATGCCACTTTGTTACAAAGAACATCCTTGCCTGTAGAAGATATTATTGATCTTGTCTTTTTGTCTCAACGCCACATACTTTGTGTTTGAGGGCTGTTATTATCAACAGGTTTTTGGAACAGCGATGGGGTCACCAGTTTCGGCAGTAATTGCTAATTTAGTAATGGAAGATGTCGAACAAAGAGCTTTAGCCTCTGTTCCGGTGTCCCTATCGTTTTGGAAACGTTTCGTCGATGATGTCATCTCTGCGGTTTCTACAAATGAGATCGATATTCTGCTGCAACATTTAAATTCTATTGAGCCGTCCATCCAATTCACGGTAGAACGTGAAATAAATGGACATTTAGCTTTTTTAGATTTGAATGTACACAGAACTGTCGAAGGGAAGTTAGAGACTGATGTTTATCGCAAACCCACACACACAGACAAATACTTGTCATACGACTCTTATCACCCAGTAAGCCATAAAAGATCCGTAGCAAAAACTTTGCTTCAAAGAGCTGAATCGTTGCCGTCAAACAGTGATTCTCAAGCTAATGAACGTGAATATGTTTTAAATGTTTTAGGGGAAAACAATTACCCAAAGCGTTTTCTTAATGATTGCCTGAGACCACCTGTTTGTAGGAACCAAAATAACTCCGAGGGTGATACCTCTGTTAAGGGTTTTGCAATAGTTCCATACATTCAAGGTGTCACAGAACCAATCAAGAGAATCTTAAGTAATTGTAATATTAAGGTTGCCTTAAAACCCTATTTGACCTTAGGCCATATTTTCGCAAAGCCAAAAGATCCTGTTGAAAAAAATCAGAAGACTCATGCTATATATTCTATACCATGCGGTGACTGCGATAAAGAGTATTTGGGTCAGTCTAAACGCCAGTTTGGTACACGGCTAAAAGAACATCAAAAGGCTGTTTCAACTTTAGACAAGGGAAAATCAGCTTTAGCCGAACATGTATGTTACACCAAACACGAGATTGCGTGGGAAAACTCTAAAGTAATTACCACAAACAATCGCTATGGTCAAAGACTTTGCCTAGAAGCGTGGCATATAAATATGAGTCATCATGCTTTGAATAGGGATGACGGCGCCTATTTGCCAGAAGAATATATGCATCTTCTTGGCAGGTGACGTCATCCCTTGGGTATTTAAGAAGCCACGATCGCAGTTTTAGATCACCCCTGATGAAGACACTAGACTGGAGTGTCGAAACGTTGGGTCTTGATTACAATTCGACTGGGCTTTGTAATCATTTATTTAAACCAGAGTAGCGAGCGAAACATGATTGATATACCTGGTTGCAGTGAACGAACAAACTTTATATCTATATCTTTATATCTTATATCTATCGTCTCTGAAAGAGTTTTCAATTTCACCTGAACTTCATCACATCGCCGTGTTCGAATTTTCTCGTGGCCGAATGTATTTAAGCTGAGGGTTTCCTTTCGTATGGGATTTAAGTTTAGTCTCTCCTTAAGGTGGCTGGTGATATATGATCGTTGACTACCAGAGTCCATAGATATCTCATATACACTAGATAGCGCATCCCACCCTGTAGGCAGGCGAAAATTGAAGCCTGATCGCAGTCGCAGTTTACGTGCGGCGGCCATATTGGTCGTTCCCACGGAGCGTGATAATTCGTATATTTTGTATTGTGGAAATGGACGAAGTTGACAATAAATCCTCTTTTATGCATTCAATTTTGGTTTTTCAAGTGTGCAACTTGTTGTAAATGATGCCAGATCGTTGGAGCTTCATATTGTGAATAACGGGTAGGCAGAATTTAATTATTTTTTTCGAAAATATCAATATTTGTCGACCCGTATGAAGGGCGCCCATGCATAGGACAAACCCTATGGACAAACCATCATTGTTGATGTATATATAAATATAGTTCCACCAATTCCAAATAAAACATTTTGAGCTATCGCCATTGCTTCATAGCAAAATTGTGAATGTATTTGCATATTCTTTTGTAAAAGACAGCGACACTGAAAAACATATTTTAGTCACAGTTTATCAATGGCAAAAATAGACTTAAAATCTTAAATAGTCAATATATAAAACATTGACACCAAAAATGGTTCTTACTCCTTACTATTTGTATATTTATTAGATAAATACAACATATCATATATTATTTTATAGTTCCATGGAATCACATCAAGATTAAAATGTATTAGAAGCTAGAGAAGAATAATTGCAACTTTTTTATATATTCGCAGGCAAAATAACATAATTGCTATTGCTTTATGTAAATGTAGTTGATAATCAAACTTTCTAAAACTTTCAATTGTATGAATGCTTCAAACTATCTTTAATATTTGATGTTAAGACATATTTCTTTCTGTTGAGTCCTAGACCTTTTGTTTTTAATTCAAGCAATCAAACTGCCAAATTACTGTAATTATTAACAGCATAGGTCATTGATAATCAGTTGAATTTTAGAACTGCTTTGGGAAACCCTATTTTGTAATGAGACACATTACTTCTTGCATTATTGTATTGTAAGGTCAATGGGATAAACTGCTTGATGCACAGTAGATTTTATAATCTTAAATATAGTTGCACTCACTATTGTATAAATAATTCTATTGTTATAATAAAGTATTACTTTTGACTTTGTGTAATAGTGTTTTCTAATTCTTTGACTCATCACTTATCAGATGCACAATAATTAAACTTTTCTAAAAAAATAAAATAAATTTGCCAGTACTCTCAGGAATTGAAAACATGATAAACTCTCAATTTTTGCCTTTTGAGTTTAGTGGTTACTGTAAATATCATTAAAAAAATGTCCAATTTTTAAAAAAATTTGGAGACCTGAAGAAGTTTTGGTGCCAATTGAAATTAAAAATTTGAATTAAACTCAGAAAATTTCATAGCAATGGGTAAAGTCATTCCTGATGCAAAAAGTATAAGAAGTAATAGTGAAGGGTCAAGTGACAGAATCAAAAATCAAAAGAAAACTTCCCGGGACATTTCATCAGTAAGCAATTTATTTTTAGTTTTTTACAGTATACTATTATATTGATTGAAATTAGACTTGCATTAACATGATAAACATCCCTAAGGATGAAGTACTATGAAAACAGTTGATACAAAATGTTCATCAAGAAAAGTGGTCACCCAAAAAGCAGATGTTTATATGTTCTGACCACTTCTGTTCTGGTTGCATTGTCCATACTGTTCTGTTCTGGCTTCATTGTCCATACACAGTCTTTACTGAGCTAGATCACCATATTTTTGACTCACCAGTTGGAAATCATGTTATATTTCAGTTGACCAAGAGCATCATCAAGAGTTACTGTGAGGTTAAATTTTACCATCTTGGAAAAAAGACCACTGAGAATTCATCTTGACAAAAAATTAGAAATTAAATAAACTTGTACCTTTTAAGCACCAGTGTGAGTGATTACACAGAATGTATCAGAGAAAGCTAAATATTACTAAAATTTACTATGAAACTGCCCAAGCTGAAAGTGCAGACTCTGTCTCAAACATAATTTTACTAAAATTTACTATGAAACTGCCCAAGCTGAAAGTGCAGACTCTGTCTCAAACATTTTACTAAAGATTTATCGTGAAAACTGCCCAAGCTGAAAGTGCAAACTCTGTCTCAAACATTTCACTAAAGATTTAGAGTGAAAACTACCCAAGCTGAAAGTACAGACTCTGTTTTTTTTACAGTATAAACTGCCTACGCCGATAGTCGAAACGTTACTTACCAACTCCATTTCCATAAAGTGGTGCCAGAAACCGTAAGTACATGTATTGATTAGACGATACTTCACCAGAGAATCGATTATTCACAGATTCAAAACAAATATATGAAGAATGTAATTCGAAATTTTTAGCTTTAAAATGCGATTCAAAGACAACAACATCGCCAATTAATATTTTTTTCTTGTACCCTTTTCCAAAAAAGCTGCGATTTCAAGGCGAACGTACCTCAAAAAGGTATTTTTAATCCAGAAATGCAAAAAGCCTCGAAAAGTATAGTATTTTCTATAGCATTTCATTGATGAGTGGGAACGACCAATATGGCCGCCGCCTATTTTCATGGGGGAAACCGCTGAGATTTTTGGCTTCAGTTTTGTATTCCGAGATGCGCTATCTAGTGTATATGAGATATCTATGCCAGAGTCCAATAATACTCGTACTGGAATGGAATCTCTACCATCTTGGCTAAATGCTACAGTAGTGGCGGTTTGCAAAAGAATTCGTCTTGACTGGTTATTTCTGGCGGAGTTACGGTTTACCATTGTCACTTCGTGATCTCTTTTACCTTTCTGGCCTGATTGCTTTGTTGGCTCGTTCTTTTTCGGATCTTGTTTTACAGACGACGTTTCGGGAGGATCTGTGGGTGGATCTCGTTCGGTACAAATGGATTGATGGTGACCGCCGTGGCATTTTCTACATTTTTTAGAAGGGTCACACTCCCTTGCTCGATGTCCTCGCCCCAGGCAACGGAAACAGCGACCATCTCGTTTGAGGATATTCTTTCTGGTGTCGATGTCACGGAATTGTTCACATGAAGCTGAATAATGGGATTTGCGACAATAGGCACATTGTATATCTTGTCCCTTTGGATTGGACCACCCTGCGAGTAATGATGCAGCAGTGGGTATATTTCGTCGACTGTGGTCACTAGAAACCCCTTTCAACTTCAGATCATTTGCTTTCACATTTTCACACACTTCTCGTGCTTCCACTTCTTGTTTTATCAATTTTAACAGATCTTCAATTTTCTAAACTTCATTTGATGAATTACGGGCAATTTGCATGCGAACATCTGCAGGGAGTTTTGACATAATAGAGAGTTTTAGCTTGACGTTTACAGCAAACGTCAAACCGCTAACGAAGTTTTTGATTTTACCACTCTGTTATAATAGCTTTTACACCAATTTTGAAATGTAAACAATTATTAAACTTGTGCTCTTTAGCGATGATTTAAAAGAAAGCAAATTAATCACTAGTCACGTATTCGCGAATGCAGTAAATTAAGATTTGACGTTTGAAGTTTACGTTTGGCGTATAAATTTCATGCTTTAACGACTATACAAGCCCTCATAGCAGTTCAAGCATGAAATTTATACGCCAAACGTAAACTTCAAACGCCAAATCTTAATTTACTGCATTCGCGAATACGTGACTAGTGATTAATTTGCTTTCTTTTAAATCATCGCTAAAGAGCGCAAGTTTAATTACTACCGTATTGTTCGGCCCTTACCCCTAAAGACTCTAAGCCCCTGACATTCACACTGACTTGGTCATATATCAGTCTCAGTTGACTTGAATCTCTACCATTACAGGTGGGCAGTTTTAACAGTTTGTCCATGTGCGCTGAAATTACTTGCTGGGTTTTTCCAAAACGTTCATTGAGAATGTCTACTGCTGATTTGTAATTTTCAGCAGTTATAGTTAGACCCTGAATAGCAAGGAGACCAGGGCCCTCCAGCAAGGAATACAGGTAGTTGAATTTGTCGATTTCAGTGAGGTCTGGATTATTGTGCACGGCACTCTGAAAACTTTCCCAAAACCCACGAAATTTTGTTATTTCGCCCCCAAATTTTGGTAAAGTTAATTTGGGTAGCCTTAGTCGGGTTGAAGAACTTGAGGGTGGGATAGCATGCATTGTCTGGTTTGAAACGTCGTTGATTTGTTAAGGAGTCATGTCCAATAAGGTCCCCTGTGACTGTGCATTCGATAAATTTTCCGGGGGGGACAAATCAACTGGAATAAGGGGGTAGGTAATTGTAAAGTGTTACCTATCGGGATTGTCGGTTTTTTCGTCAGAATAACTTCGATTTTCTAAGCTTCCTTATATCGTACACCTTGGACGTAATCTCTTCTGCTTCTTCTATATCTTGAGTAATGCTTTCTACTGAACACGTTTCGAGTATTTCTTCGTCGAGTTTTCTTACAAATTTCAGCTTTTCGTCAAGTAATCTATCGAGTGTTGTCAAACGTTCAATACATCCATTTTCGTCGATTTTACTGAAAAGTTCAGTCGCTTCCTTTACATATTTCGTTATAACTCCACGGTTTGCTGATCGAATCGCTCGTTTTCGTTCAAATGCTTCAGTCATGGCTTCAAGTTAACGTAAAAACTTCGGTGCTCGCGTCAAAATTCGTTATTCGCAATAATTCTCGTCGAGTTTGTTCATCAAAATATATCGCCAAAATTCGCTTAGTTTAATCGTTCTATTCGCATTCAATCGATCCTTCACAATCTAACGAGACTTGTAAGGCCCCACGTTGGGCGCCATGAACTATACTTTTGCTTTTAAGTATTTATTTTATATAAAAGTTACGGTCTATACACTTACAAGTCTCCAAAATCGCAATATGGAACAACAACAAAATGGCGCCAAAAGTCCGTCCGATAAATTGTGCGCCGTAAAAATGTTCGAAAGTTAAACGTATAAATACGCTGTTCACAACATCACCCCACTCCAATTACTCGCTGACCTCAGAATGACATTTCGTCAAAAAAATTTTCTTCAAGATTGGTTTAGAAACAAACTTGAAGTAGGGTTAGGTTAGGCTTAGGGTAAGGATTAGGGTTAGGGGTTAGAGTTGGTGTTTGGAATAGGGTTAGTGTTAGTAAAACCGTTGCTTTGTTACGTTTTGTCACTCTGCAGAGGCCAGCGAAATAACCTCTTCCCTCAAACCACTCATATATAACCATGGTTCACTTTAATCGAAAAGAGTAACCCTAAAAGCCCTAAGAGTAACCCTAAAAGCGCGGGGCCCCTAAAAGCGCGAGGGGCCTGTGGCATATGCCATTTCTGCCGTATGGTTAATCCGGCAGTGTATATGTGTTCAATGGGGAAAGTAACCACGAATATACAGTTGGTATTGATCGCGGGAGAATATTGAGTTTTTGAATTTTGGGTTTTTGATTTTTCGGTCTTTGAGTTTTCTGGCTTTGATTATTGGGTTTTTGATTTTCAGTCTTTGATTTTTCTGTCTTTGATTTTTGGGTCTTTGATTTTTTGGTCTTTGATTTTTTGGTCTTTGATTTTTTGGTCTTTGATGAGGATCCTGAAGGGGGGCGGGGGGGGGGTACCAATCCCATTTCCCACCTGAAATTTTGGCAAAATCCCAGTCCCAGTTGGATTTTTATTAGACTCCCAGTCCGAGTTACTGAAATCCCAGTCAATAAATAAAAGTTATTTATCGGGTAGAATAAACAGTTTTAAGACCTTTTAAGCCACTGCGTGTGCGCACCGTGTGGCAGAAGCGGTTGTGCTTTGCCTATGAGGTATATACTTATCATTTATTTAGACCGAGGGAAACAGTGTATTTTGTCGACCCAAGACCGCCGTTGTTCGGCGGTTGAGGGGCCACAAAACACACTGCTTTCCCGAGGTCTCAGTAAATAAGTGTTTTGTTATATAGTATATAAGTGTCAAACTTAATTTGAAACCAAAACTGGATAAATGGAACGCCGTAAATGTTTAATAAAAAGTTTAAAAAATGAACTTTGGAACTTCATGGTTGACACGCATGCGTGTTGCACCCATTTTATTATTGACCGGTCAATAAGTGTGTCATTGTGGACCGATTGCCTCCTCGGCAAAGCACGCAGTGAACACGACGCTTTGTGGACCGGCACGTGATACGGTTTTGACCAATCGGCAAACAGAAAAATTGAACTCTGACACTAACTATATAACAATATGTGTTAAATGAAGTATATACGGGAAACCAGGCATATATTCCGCTGTGCATCTGACTTGGGGACACGCATAATCAGAAAACCCAGAATTCCGGGCGCCAGAGCATGCCTGTTCGCAGGTAGTGGTGTGAATCAGAGTTATCAACAAAAACCATGACCAAAGCCACCAAAAACGGATCAAAATTGTATTTTAAAATACTTAAAACGTGGAAAAATTGGGAATCGACTTGCATTACCTCAATCCCATTCCCATTTTTGAGGACTTCATTTCCCATTCCCAGTGGCCAAATCCCAGTCCCAGCAACCCAAATCCCATTTTCCCAGTATAGAAATAGATCAATCCCAGTTCCCATTTTCCCCTTCAGGACCGTCTTTGATTTTTGCATTTTCCCCTTCAGGACCGTCTTTGATTTTTGGGTCTTTGATTTTTGGATCTTTGATTTTTCGGTCTTTGATTGTTCGGTCTTTGATTTTTGGATCTTTGATTTTTCGGTCTTTGATTGTTCGGTTTTTGATATTTGAGTTTTTGATTTTTCAGTCTTTGTTTTTTTGGTCCTTGATTTTTGGGTTTTTGATTTTTGAGTTTTTGATTTTCAGTCTTTGATTTTTCAGTCTTTGATTTTTCGGTCTTTGATTTTTGGGTGTGTAATTTTTCAGTCTTTCATTTTTTGGGCCAGTTTAGTTTTTGGTTTTTGATTTCCAGTCTTTCATTTTTCAGTCTTTGATGTTTCTGCAGTCTTTGATTTTTGGGGTTTGAATTTTGGGTCTTTGATTTTTTGGTCTTTGATTTTTGGGTTTTTGATCTTCAGTCTTTGATTTTGAAGTAGTTTGATTTTTGGATCTTTGATTTTTGGGTTTTTGATTTTCAGTCTTTGATTTTTCTGTACTTGATTTTTGAGTCATTGATTTTTTGGTCTTTGATTTTTGGGTCTTTGATTTTTGGATATTTGATTTTTGGATATTTGATTTTTGGATCTTTGATTTTTGGGTCTTTGATTTTTCAGTTTTTGGGTCTTTGATTTTTGGGTTTTTGATTTTTTGGTTTATGATTTTCAGTCTTTGATTTTTCAGTCTTTGATTTTTGAGTCTTTGATTTTTCAGTCTTTGATTTTTTGGTCTTTGAGTTTTATGTCTTTGGTTTTTGGATATTTGACTTTTGGATCTTTGATTTTTGGGTCTTTGATTTTTCAGTCTTTGATTTTTTGGTCTTTGATTTTTGGGTTTTTGATTTTTGGGGTTTTGATTTGGGGGTTTTTGATTTTCAGTCTTTGATTTTTCAGTCTTTGACTCTTCTGTCTTTGATTTTGGGGTCTTCGATTTTTGGATCTTTGATTTTTGGGTCTTTGATTTTCGGGGTTTTCGGACTTGACCGTTTTTGGTTATGAGACATGTTGCCGGAACACCAAGTTAGCAAACGGATAGAGTCGAATGGCTCGTCAAAACATGATGGGCTACACCCTTTCCTTCACGAAGCCAAGCCTTGCGTTTTTTCTATTGCCAAGCGCTTATCTGGGCCCGAGCTTTTTACTGTTCCGCACTACCTTATAGTGCTTTGCGAGGAATTTTACTAAACGACCCTCATCGGGCGGGACGTTTTAATAGCTAATTCGCCTCTTTTTATGCTATTACTTATAATAATGGACCATTATTTGCAATTTACTATCTTCAAATAGAATAAAATCTAAAAATTAAAAACCTAGAAACCTAAAAATATAAAACCTAATAATCTAAAATCTAAAAATCAAGAACCTGAAAATCAAGAACCTGAAAATCAAGAACCTGAATATCACGAACCGAAAAATCACGGACCGAAAAATGTAAAAGTGAAAAATGTGCTTAAGTGTCGCGTCTGGGCTTCCGTAGTAATGTAGTATACCAGCTTTACATCTGTAAAATGAGTATGTTTTCACCCGTTCGAATTCTTAGCAATGCATTTTTTTATATGTGCCCACGAAATAAAAAAATCGTTCAAGAGCCTTGAACGACAGAAAAAGATCGAGCAGCATTTGGAGGTTAAATAATTATCGGACTCAATGAAAATCTACTCCATCGAATGGTCCGCCCCTGGTACATAATATTTCTAAAATCCATATATTATAGAACAGTCGTCGCATGCAAATAGGCCATTTCTACTTGTGAACCTCTTAGGTTTATAAGTAAGACGGGGATTATTTTCATTCAGGGACGTAGCGAAGCATTTGAAGTTGGGGGGGGGGAGGATTTTACATGTTTAAAATTAAAGTACGAAAATGTCAGCAAGTGAATATCATTTAATTAATAGAGATTTCAAGATTTTTAAAAAGAAGTTGAAAAAAGTTGAAAAAAGCAAAAAAAAGTTTAAAAAGTTAGATTTTCAAAAAAGTGCCTATATGACTTGTGTGACCTTTATGCAGGATTTGAAAAGAGCGTAAAAAGTTAGTTAATAAGTTCAAAAGATTTTTTTGATTTAGTGCAATAATTTCGAAGATACAGGCCTCTAAACTACCTACAGTTCCTGAGTCCCAGGGTCCTATATGCACAATGAACAGTTTGGAAAAAGGCTAAATTCAATAGCCGTGTTTAGTTCATGCCTTTTAGTATATGAGAAGAATTGTGGAAGAGTTTTTGATGTTCTTAGGTCATACATGTTCGTGACTATGTCAGGTATATATTTCTTACATATATGGGTGCGTTTCATCATTAACGATTTTCTTGTATTCGCAAATGGCAAGATTATATTACCGACGTTGCTCTAGAGACTGAGTGAATCAAAAGGTAACCTAAAAATTTTCAGACTTCTAGTTTGGATACTCTCCAGCTCGTCTGTAAGATACTGTGTTGAATGCGTATTGAATGCTGATCAAAAAATTTCATTGCTAAAAATTCGAACGGGTGAAAACATACGTTTATCAACATGTGTTTATAAAATGATCCGCCGTCCGCGGTTCGTCGTCCGTTGTCCGGCGCAGTCCGCCCTTTATCTACAACCCATCCAGACATAGGGATGACAAATTCAGATACCCCTATGACTGGATGCAAGATATACGGGTGTCTGAATTTCAGACACCGTTTTAAATACTGTTGGCGAATTTACTGCATTGTGGTCTGTGGATGTTTGTACAAACAGTCAAATCGTGCATGTCTCTTGTGCATGTCTGCCCAAAACAGCTAATTGCTCTAAAAAATCATCAATCACGAGTTTGGAATTGTTCAAAATTCTTTGGAACGCGCTTCACAACCTCCTTATACGCGGTACCCACGAGGTTTAACACTAGATCACCTTTTCTTTTAAAACTAAAAAAATCATCAATCACGAGTTTGGAATTGTTCAAAATTCTTTGGAACGCGCTTCACAACCTCCTTATACGCAGTACCCACGAGGTTTAACACTAATCACCTTTTCTTTTAAAACTGTTGGCGAATTTACTGCATTGTGGTCTGTGGATGTTTGTACAAACAGTCAAATCGTGCATGTCTCTTGTGCATGTCTGCCAAAAACAGCTAATTTCTCCAAAAAAATCATCAATCACGAGTTTGGAATTGTTCAAAATTCTTTGGACCCACGAGGTTTAACACTAGATCACCTTTCTTTTAAACTGTAAAGTGAAAGAAATTTACCTCCAGCAAAACTATGAAGTCGAACATTTAGAACAATTTTCATATTTAGACCCTATTTAGACTGCAGATATACAGAGGATATATAGTTGCTGAATGTACTTAAATAATTCAACTTTGTAAACATTGTTTATAGTTTTTTATGCGTCATTTGTTCGGTAGAATTCGTTGTTGTAATAATGTTGATTACCCTCATGAAATTAAGTTTATTTTTATTATTATTATTATTATTATTATTATTATTATAATAATTATTATTATTATTATTTTGTTGGCCATGATTTGTCCCATTTTACTGAACATCTACAATCAAGTGCAAAAATAATGAGACTTTTTATATTTTTATCCTCTTTTTCAGATCCTCCCCCCCCCCCCCCCCCCTATATAATTTTTGTGTCACATTTGCAACATTGATTTTTTTTGGGGGGGGGATTGCATGATTTATGGGGAAGGGTGGAAATTGTTTTGTTGTCTCAATAATTTTTGCATGTGATTGTAGGTTGGTACTGACATTTAAACTGCGCATGTTCGACATGTAGTAAACAAAGATGGCGGAAAGGCTCTATAAGAATGTATTAGTGCCAGCATCAGCCTAGACCTAGGCCTTCTAGTCTTATTTATATTTTTTAATATTCAGCGCTTTTTCACATGAAAAGACTGGGACTAGGTGATTTGGGGGCGGGGCGGAGGAAGCAAGCCTAGAAGGCCTAGTGGATTTCCCAACAACAAGGCCAAAACTGCCCTGAAACTGCCCTGGTTGCGAAATGCCCAATTATTGCGTTCTCGAACAGAATTATTTGCAACTTAACGGCGAATTTAAACCGATACAGGTAAAATAAACTTATTTATAGTATAAACTTACTATTTTTATTTGTATACACGTCTAGAAAATCGGGGTTTTTATCATAAAGTTCGAAGCAACACTATTATTTATCTACAGTCCGTATGTAAACAAAGCCTTTGTTTACATTTTTGTGTCCAAAATGTTGAGCTTTATTCGACAACTATTTATATTTTCAAGCTTCTAGAGTATAATAAATGATCAAGAAACAACAATCAGGCTTTTCAAGAACTCAAAACATAGTTAAACTGTTTGTATCATAAAAAGTGGGCTCATTTGTGCACATGCGCAGATCGGACTGTAGATCACCTTTAATATGTTGACAGACTTGACAAGGTGTAGCGAAAGAACAAAATGAGTCAAAATATATACCAAAAGTAGAATCTTTCATGAAATTTTGTCTTATACACAAGTACATTAATATATATTTTCTCAATTTTGGCAAGCAGTCTTGTGTTTGTAAAATATACAAAATAAAACGGATACATCAGTATATTATTAGCCCGTACAGTACTGTATATAAAAACGTACATTGTTTACAAATGGCCTGTATATCCGTAATATTTGAACAATAATTTCAAAATCCTCATTCCCAATTCGCAAATATAGTTATTCAAAGCAAAACAGTAGATTGTCTTGCGAATAAAAGAATTATTATTTTGTGCCGTTTCGCTACGCCTTGTCAACATATATAAATAGTGTTGCTTCAAACTTTATGATAAAAAACCCGATTTTCTAGACGTGTATACAAATAAAAATAGTAAGTTTATACTATAAATGAGTTTATTTTACCTGTATCGGTTTAAATTCGCTGTTAAGAGAATGCAGGAAAGCTAATCTACCTGTGGAAGTATAGGCATTACCCTTTAGATCTATTAGATCCATTCTTGAATATGCCTCACCTGTTTGGGGTGGCCTTCCAACCTATCTGGTAAATGAAATTGAACGTACCCAGAACCGCTGCCTCCGAGTTAATGACTGTCTACAAAGCCTCTCTGATCGAAGAGAAGAACTTCTGAAACGTGAAGCGCGGAAGATTATGAATGACCCTTCCCATCCTTTTCATACAAGACTCTTTAAATCAAATAATCCCCATGATTTACGGACAATTAGTAGCAAAAACACATTATCGCGAACCGAAAGACATAAACGTTCCTTCAATATATTATAGCTCGTGCAAGTGCACTCACATAGTTTTTAGTTGTCTATATATACTTAATATTCTTATCTGTATATAATGTTCTATATATTTTTTAACGTAATTTCAATCAAACTGTAAATCCATTGTACTTTTATACTTAAGATGGATAAATAAAGATTATTATTATTTAAATGTCAAAAATATTATCCTTCAAGAACTAATTATAAATGTGTCACTGGCACTAGCTCGTTCCACCAAAATAATAATTATTCCCACATATATTGAATATCTACATTCAAAATCATTGATCACTCAGGTTGCAAAACAGACCAGCCGAAGCCAAGGGCCTTTTTCGCTGACCATTCAACCGCGGAAGCATAAAGCCCTGGGTATGAGGTTGGTATTATGCCCGAGTCGAGTGAGAGGAAGCGAACGGAAGTTACACTACAACGGTTGTTTATGTACTAAGAGATAATCTTTTACCTAGAAGACGTATGTTTCAATTACTCAAACTATCGATTTGCAAAACAGTAAGATTTAAAAATGCATTTGTTCGAAATAGCTTATATAACTTTTTCTACGAATTACGTAATACCTTTTGTTATAACTTGTATATAACTTTTATATTTTCATAAAAATTTTGCATTAGAATATGAGAAATTCTGCAAATCGTGAATTGTATTTGCTTGGTTAAACGCAGGGTTTATTTTAACGTGCAGTTCTACACAAAATGTGCATTTCTATACCCATTTGTGCAGTTCTTAAAACTCGAATGTGCAGTCACCAAATTAACGAAACTGAATATAACCTCAAAACAGTCTTCTCATTTACTCGTTTTCCTTAAATGCTGTCATTGAGCATCAAAAATCTAAATGTTTTCTGGGAGAGGACCACCAGGCGCTCATATTTTCCTCACGTATCACATACGTAATGGAACAGGATGTGAAATTGGGGCGAGCGAAGCTATCGGCAAAAGAGATTAGAGTGGGAGAACCTAATATTGTTTGCTGCCTAAGGTTATTATATATTGAGTATTCATGATTCCCAGTCACATGTTTTGAAACAGTTTTTGTGGGTGGTTGGGTGAAATGAATCTTTGCCAGAACTCACGAGCCTCTAAATTCAAAATTTGGGGGACACCCTACCTGCAGCTCCCCCACGGAGAATCGAGTTTGTCTGGCCCCACCCAACAACACCTTTATTCTGCCACCTATATACAAATTAAGAGTCTATCATAATTTACCATGTTAACTATAAATTTACAACATTAAATATAGATAAAAATCATTTGATCCCCCAGTCAAACACCCTTTGACCCCCAGTCAAACCCGTGATGCTTCGTAACATGCCTAATATGTGCAGTTCTAAATTTTTCTTAAAATAAACCCTGGTTAAACGCCGTGGCGCTGCAGCTGCGGCGTTTATTCGAGGGCGAACCAAATCTAATACTATTAAAACACAATGGCTTAATTATGATATTATTATTATTAATGGCTTATGAGGGCGGCCTTTATTCGAGGGCGGCGTTTGTTCGAGGGCGGCGTTTAATAATATTTCAGCATGAGCTCCACCTTTCAATTTTGACTATATGAGTAAATTCTTAAACACGTCCGAATTTATCATTATGATAAATTCGCGGCACATTTTGAATTTATCATAATAATAAATTCGCGGCACCTAACACTAACCCTAACCCCAACCCTAACCACTGTCCACTAACCCCTAACCACTAACCCCTAACTCCTAACCCCTAACCCTAACCCTAACCCTAACTTTTTTAACTTTTTAAATTTTTCTAACTTTTTTAACTTTTTTAAAAATCTAACTTTTTAAACTTTTTTTGCTTTTTAAAACTCTTTTAAAACTTTTTTAAAACTTTTTTAAAAACTATTTTTTTAAAAAACTTGAAAATCACTGCCAGACCCTGGCACACTGCCAGTGTAGTATAACATGCATGAATTAATTTGATTTTACTATACAGAAGCCTTTTTTTACATAACTTAGGGAAATGCTGTATTTAAATTATTTAAATCAAATCGTTTCAGAATATCCGGCTGACATAATATTCGCAAATTTAAATTACGGCGCTCCATGGCCCGAATCAAATTAAAATAACGAACAGATGGGATCCCTATCAAAAAGTCTGATTTCTAAGCTTCGTATATATATAGATCATGTCGCAATATTTTAAAATAAACGCAGTTTAGGCAATGTTTTTGGACGCTCAATGCTCATAGTCGCGCGAACTGATCGTATTGATGGATCAAATTAAATCATTGAATTCCCTTGTTTTTCACGCTGAATTGTACGCGGTTAACGTGGACGGATTCTTTCAAGAATTACTGTGCGTATATTCGTTGTACTGTTGTTTACGAGGGACGGGCGGCAAGTTTGATCAGAAGTGAAACGGATCGCCATTGATATATAGTATAAATACTAACCAATTGGAGATTAAAATTGCGTTTGAATTGTACATTAAAATTGATGACGATTAAAATAAGGTATGAAAGTAATTATGTTAGACTACCGAAGTTTCGATTGTATCATATCAAGTGCGGCAAATGAGTAAGCTCCAAACAAACTCATTCAAATTTGAATATGATGCTGGCACAGCCTAGACCTAGGCCTTCTATTTTTATTTATATTTTTTTAATATTCAGCGCTTTTTCACATGAAAAGACTGGGACTAGGTAATTTGGGGGCGGGGCGGAGGAAGGACACAAGCCTGACGCAAGCGAAAATATAGAAGGCCTAGTGGATTTCCCAACAACAAGGCCAAAACTGCCCCTGAAACTGCCCTGATTGCGAAATGCCCAATTGTTGCGTTCTCAAACAGAATTATTTGCAACTTAAGATATATACTTGACGGTTAGCTTTCTATATAACAGTTTCAACATGATTGTTCCATATGAGGTTGTTTTGAAGCCCCATTCCATGAAGTAGTTTAAATTTGTCCACTCTTTCAACTAGTTCATCATCGATATTTATCATAATTGAACACCCCAAATACAGTACTGGAGATTTTGAGGTCATATGACCGGCTGATGCCAGGGTCATTTCCGCTGACCGGAAGCAAAATGCCCTGGGTACGAGGTTGGCATAATGCGCATTTGATTGGCTAATCGGGTAGAATAAGCGGTGGCGGTAGTGAAAGTCAAATCTGAACCTCTCTAATGTGACGTATATATATATATATATATATATATATATATATATATATATATATATATATATATATATATATATATATATATATATATATATATATATATACCGTATTCAGTTTTCTGTTCAATTTTATAACCTGTTTTTCATTCGCTTTTATTCAGTTAGATTAGTCTCCTTCCGTTCAGAAGTAACTTATTCAGTTTATCTTTTTAGAGATTGTGGGTCCAGTGTTGACATGTCACACTTTCTTGCCCTCCTTTTCCTCGCTACGTCATGTTATTCGTACTATAAAATATTTAGCAGAATGATTAATTCGATAACGGCTACCTTGCGTTTGAAAAAATATCGTATCCCGAGCCCGGCCCACGATTCTCTGGTACAGGCTAGCAAAGGGGCATACATTCATATCTCGCTGTTTCTGAATGACCCTAATCATTATCCTGCCCCTAACCTTAATTTAAAACTTTTAAGAATTTAATTAAAAAGGAAGAAAGAAAGACCCGCTTCCCTGTCTTTTTTCATGATATCTTATTTATCGTTATACTCCTTAATATTATCCATTTACAAATGAAGCGATGAACTGCCCCGGACTGCCCAATAAAATCATTGCCCAATTCTTCTGACCCCCCCATATACGCTTAAAAGCATTGAAGGCTGTATTACCTTGCCTTGTTTAAGTTGTTTTCCAGCTGTTCGTCTCTGAACAGTTTAAATATATGACTGGTTAGGATTGTTTATGAATATAAATCACAACATAAAAACTCGGCGAAATTTAATAGATTTATGAATTATGATGTCCGGCATACAGCAAGTTAAGATGTCCGGCATACAGCAAGACAGTAGTTTGTTATGATATTTCATATTAACGTCATTTCCTGAACATTCTACAGCTGAATACAATCTATACATTCGAAGGTTCGAAGCTATCTTTATAAATAGCTTATCTGAATATTACAGTCAGCTTTACTGATTTGCATGTATAAGTGGTGAATTCACACGGCAAGGCACGTGTATGTATCATGCATGTCTAACAAATTTGATTGGTGAAAAGATAACTCGCAAGATATCATCTGCGTGGGTAATTGTCATTGTACGTCTATAACAATTTCAAAATGCAACAACATTCATACAACACTGAATTGCATTTCATGACAAAAACTCGATCTATAGTGTAAAGTAAACGAGTTTAAAATTGAAAGACCAACTTAAACGGTTTCAGCAGCCTATCCTGTTACCTGTTCTGTATTTTTCTTCTCTTTTGACATTCTTTATTTTAACACAAACTTGGAAAATCATAGTTTACAAATTTGCGAGTTGTGCCGGCATTTTGTTTATTTATGTCCGTAATTGGTCGGGGCGGGCAACAATTTCATTTCACAAACCTTCATTAATACATATAATAGTGTCTCCTTTAGATATAATAGCTAGGAATCACAAATGTTGTCTTTATTCGGAGTTACCGTTGTTGTATTCTTGCCAGCTTGCGCCATTTAAAGTCATAACGAGACCCCCAAAAGACTCGTTCCCATGTTTTCTCTTCATTCTCCAAAATGACTTCTCGTTAGCTAGCTGCACGTTGCTCGCTTCAGACGGTTTTTCAATTCCATTGCAATCCTTCACAAAATAAAGCCATCCTGACTAAAAAAGTTACAGAACTGATGGCAGCACAACGGAGACATTCTGAGACCTCTCGTAGTTCTGAAAGCTCGTCATCGAGTTTTAGCGAATAGCGCGGATATAGCAGCGACTCAGGTGAATCTACTATCAGTGAAGACAGCGGACTATCTACCCGGAGAATCAAATCACGAAGCCGATCGACATTATCAGGATTCGAGCGACTGGAAATTGAATCCCCATGTATTTCAAACACTGAATATCCAGTGGGGTCCCCTAGAAATAGACTTGTTTGCCAACCGACTCAAATCCCAATTACTAGAGGCCTAGAGAGTATGTGAACTGCATGGTTCCCAGGCCCATTTGCCAAAGCAACAAATGCTTTACAGATTTCTTGGTCGGATCTGAAAGGGTATTGCTACGCGTGCGCCTCGCGCACTGATAAAATTTCCAATTTTTCACTTGTTGACCATAAATAAGCCAATAGAGAGTTTGAGCAAGAGAACGAAGTCGGACGACGACGACGTGGTTGACAATTTTTGCCTGTCTTGCACATTATCTTGCGCATTCTGAGTTTAGGGTCAGGAGTGAAGACAGATTAGAGATTTATGCCTAGCTGTTTGTGAATGCTGACCCAAATCCTTACCCTGATCAGGATAAAACAGCGAGACATGAATCCATGTCCCGTCTTCGTTCTTCTGCCTTCGTTCACAACGAATATTTTGGCAAAATTCGTCGTGAACTTCGTTCCGAACGAAGGCAGAAGGACAAAGACAGGATATAGTTTCATGTCTTGCTGTTTTTTTCTGGGTCAGGGCAAGAATAATGGTTAGTATTCATAAACAGCGACATTTGGGAAGACACGTTGATCAACCACCAGTGACGTCCAAACTCAGTATGCGCAAGATAATGTGCAGACGGCAAAAATTGTCAAGTACGCTTTCGTCTTCGTACTTTGTTGTCTTGCTCAAACTCTCTAATCACGTTTGCTGCTCACCTTAACTATATTGTACTGTAGTACAAATAATAGGGAGGTTCAGATTTGACTTCCGTTCGTTACCTTTCACTGGCATAATGCGATTGGCTAATCGGGTAGGTTTATTAAGCACATCGGCCTGGCGGTGACCGTAGTGGAACTAGTCAAATCTGAATCGGGTTCGCGGACAAACGACAAACAAAATATCAAAATCATGGTCAAACTATTTAATACAGTTCATTTATACTAGTTTTTATTAAGACCCACTTCCCTGCTTTTTTCAGTGATATCTTATTTACTGTTTGACGATGTCATGTTCAATTCTTTTCTTTACAAGTTGTCTTTAGTTTACCCAGCGTAACGGAACTACTTTCACCAGAGGTTGACCGACTTTCAGTATTAAGAAGTCACATCTTAGATAGAACGGCACACTCTCTACGCTTGTATTACATTGTACTTTTTTCTGCATATCACGATTTTGTTGGCATTTGACTCGGTTGAACAATAGTTGAATGGTTTTGTAGATGGAAATTATCGATCGAGTGTTGGCATTTACACTCGATAATTTGCATCTACAAAACAGTACCTTTCAACTAACTCAACTATCATTCAATCGAGTGAGATTCCAACAAAATTTTGACATGAACCGTAGTGGTTAGAGCGGCTCGAGAACTGGACTCTGTAACTCAGTTGATTAGCGCTGCACTGGAATCGCAGGTTGGATTTTCTGGTTAAGTATAATAAATACGGATATTAGGATATAAAAATTTTACGCTCGATAATTTCCATCCACAAAACCTTTCAACCACTTTTGTGTGTATTCCAAAATTAGTATTATGGCCTATTATCCATTCACAAATAAAGCGATGGGAGGGCAGCTGACCCTATACGCATATGCATTGAAGGCTATATTAGCTTGCCTTGTTTTCCCGCTGTTCATCTCTAAATAGTTTTAATTATATGGCTGCATGATTAGGATTGAATATATATCACAACATAAAAGTCGAGGAAATTTAATCCGTTAAGACGCCCGGTGTCACAGGAAATCCCCCCGAAATTTCCCCCTCCCCCCGGCCAAATTGCTTAGGAAATATTTCCTAGGAAATTTGCCTCCCTCTTCGGAAATTTAGCGCATGGATCGAAAAATAAATCGAATAATCTTAAAACAGAATAAAGTTACTACTTGCCTGCAATTGCTGACAGTCAAAATGCATTCTAATAATATATCAAAGTTAAATAGTTCAGTTCTTTAATATATATATCACTTCTTATTCCTCAGTCAGTTCTATATTTTAGTCTATACACCGTGTATTTATTATGTATTCAACTTGACAACCTTGACTTAATCCAGATTGTTTAATAAATGTAACCACTTCACTTGCTTTCATGTAGATTTTAGGTAACCATGAATGATTTGCCCACGCGTCAGGAATTTCAGCGCTGAGTTAATCGTCTATAAGTTGTCGAATGTTTATGTTTACAAGGTTTTAAAATGCCGGTTATGCCATCATTTATCTTCTTAACTAAGACGGAAATTTCACATATATTTTATGTTTGTAAGAGATTCACTTTCATGAATGATAAGAGGGGGCCAAATTGTTCTTTGGGGGGGGCATATTTCCTGGGACACCGGCCACACCGGCATACATCAAGACAATAGTTTGTTATGACATTTTATATTTCACATTTTATAACGTCATTTCCTGAACACCCTACTGCTGAATACAATCTATACATTCGAAGCTATCTTTATAATAGTGCTAGTTTACATGAATATTACAGTCATGCAGCTTTACTGATTTGCATGTATAAGTAGTGAATTCACACGGCATGGCACGTGTATCTATCATGCATGTCTAACAAATTTGATTGGTTAAAAGATAACTTGCAAGATATCATCTGCGTGTGTTGTCATTGTACGTCTATAGTAACAATTTCAATTTTATACATGTTAGTGTAACGTTATAAGTCATTGCATTTCCGCCATTTCGCATTTTGCGAACACAAATACGTCAAAGATTTTGATTATTTGTGCATGGAATGTTTCTGCGCTCACACACTAAAGATACGTTAATGATTATAGAATGATTAAGTCGATAGAAATATGCAACAGCATGCTAGGCCAAGCAATGAAAGAGCAAGCTTACACACACGACTTCACTCCCATCTTCTATTCCTCTAGACTTTTTCTAAAGATACGTTAATGATTATAGAATGATTAAGTCGATAGAAATATGCAACAGCATGCTAGGCCAAGCAATGAAAGAGCAAGCTTACACACACGACTTCACTCCCATCTTCTATTCCTCTTCGCTAAGGGTAATTAATTATCGAGCACATTAGGACCGCGTGCTGAACTGTCATATGTTCGCTTCAAGAATAAGGCTTATGAGTTATGATTTAAAAATCACAAGCTTCATTCTTGAAGTCTAGTTATATACAGTTTCATACTCCAGAAGAATGATGGTTACACAGACTCAGTGATACTTATTTTCTGTCTCAGGCGAATTTTCAAAGATTTCCAGCCAACTGAAGTCGTTGTATTTATCGATTTTATAATTGTATGTCTGTAAAAGTACGTAATAACTCCACTGGCTCAGTGTAAAATAAAATGTTAGGTAATGCGGCATATGCTGGTAAAACGGTATACTTTTTCCTTAATTCAACAGAATAGTTACAATTTCAAATATATGTGCATGTAAATAGTATATTGTATAAATACAGTATGTATAAGATAGACGCTATACTGTATAAGATCCAATTGAAGTTGTATTCAGTTGTATATTGTATAGTCACTGACATTGCCTGTATTGCAGGACGTTATAGCTACAGGGCCAAGGCGTTTTATGCATGTTCGCTAACCATAGTCAATCAATTTCTGTGCAAAACCCTTTAAACAGTTCAATATTTTATTTTTGAATTATATTCCCCGAGTGCAAACAGCTTATCTTTAAAAACATTAATATATGGGGATGTTCGCGTAGGCGAACGTGCATGACGGAGCACTGGGACTGTTTTAATTAATATGCTTCCCAATCATCGGTCTACGTCAAACTTCAGGTATAAATATAGATATAAATACGTGTATAGTGAGTCAGTTCATAATCACGTAGCTCCTGAAACATGCAACAGTGGAAATTCAAACGATTGATTTACTTTAGCACCCCGCTAAATATTGAAAAATGAATCAGGAAAGGTACGTTTAATTCATTTTTTAAACCTTTTCTGTTGGAAACCCATATATAAACTGGTACTTCAAACACTTCCAGGACAGGGAATTTGTTCTCCAACAGAAGATTTCCTATGGGTGAAAATTGTATTATTATCCTATTTGGTTGTTAATTGTTATCGCTATTAGTAAAGCCTGGTTCACATTGATCGTAAACATCGGCGATGCCCATTGTCGATGGTCATTGATGCATAAAATGTTTTGTGCATTTTCTTCTTCGTTGCTCACAGACAATGGATCGTAGAACATCGCCGATCAATGTGAACCAGGCTTAAACAACTTATACTTCAGATTTCGTCACCCAGTGCCACAAGAACTAACAAAATTTACAAAAGCATTCAGTGATCATTCATATAATTTTGTATCTCAGCAATATCTATATAGTTTCAATTTTTCTCAACTTTTTAAGCTTGAATTAAAGTGTCTCCTTAGTGTAATGGAGATAAACTTAATGTTCAAATTGGTATTTTCTAGAGCGGACGAGATGAGTGCAAGTGTATATAACCAACTGTATCACAACTACTATGTAAACTTACATACAGCTCAGACGGCAATGTCCCCTTGCTCTGCAGTATTTTACAGCTTACCACCGAGCACATGTAGTCGGCCAAGCAACAGTATGCCATTTCAAACTCAATCATGTTTTCCAGACGTTTGGATGTACCAACAAGCCCATGGACATTACTTGAATTGGATACATCCTAAATACACCAACTGTGAAGATCAATCTTCATTGATAAAATACAAAATTTGTGAAACCAATAAAAAACGACCAAGTGTTATTCAAAGTACTGGGCGAGTATTACCTTTAGATGAAGCAGGTACTAACATTCCATTAACTAATGTTTTACCACTTCCTTCAAAGCCGTTGGATGTAAATCATATCATCTCAAATCATAAAGGAACTGACAATAAAACTGTCATGCTCAAGAAGAAGCAGTTGAGTAGTGAAAGGTTAGTTCATGAAGTGTATGAAAATCAGAATATTTCGGATCCCCAACAAGTGTCCAGTAAGACTTGGGCTACTAAGATTTCAGTACTTGACGCACCTGAAGAGAAAGGGTACAGATTTTGTTGCCGTTTTTGTAACAAACAATATCACTGGCGTTCACATTGGAAAGCTCATGAAAGAATACATACTGGAGAACGACCTTTTAAATGTGAAATTTGTGGGAAAGATTTCACAAGATCTGATGGTTTACAATGCCATAAACACACTCATTTGAGGAAGAAAGATTCAACAAATTTAATGATTAAAAATGAAGAGTATGTACCAAAAGGTGAATCATTCAATGACGGCAATGACAAGTCTTCTGAAGAAGTAGAGCTAAAAAATGAGGGGAAGGAACATTTCAAGAATCGATTGCATAACAAGGTAAAATTTTCGAAAGCCAAAAAAGGCTTTCATTGCCATTTATGCAGAAAAAGCTTTTACAGTTCAAACGGGTTGCAACATCATTTACGCCAGCATAGCAAAGTCAAAGGTGTGGCCGGAAACTTTCACGATAGATGTTGAAATTTTGATGAACGAAAGATTCTAATTCCTAAAAGGTACATTCATCTATTCGTTTTAATTAACTAAAATGACACTTTAATTTTACTTAGTAATTTTGTGTGTTGATCATTATGCAAGCCTTGTGAACAGTCATTAACGATGTAAGATAACTGGCTTAAGAAATTTCAGACTGCCGCACGCAGGAATATGATTTGACCACAGAGAATAAATATTAAATAAAAGAGTACTAGAGAATCTAAAAAGGATTCCGAATAGCACACCTGGAACCAGTTGTAATACAATGTAGTTCAGTTAACTATAAAGCGTACATGAGGCATACGTATACAAAACGAAGTGATAACATGTAAACAAACTGATCAAAATTACTAAATCTCACTACGTACTGTAACAAAAACATTGATCTTAATAAAATGTGGAAACAAATCAGTAAGGTCATTAATATGGTCCTAGCCAGAGCGTTAATGAGGGTTGATGGGCTGTATACATGGGTGACGTCGTATATAGCCCATCAACCCTTATGAGGGGCATTCTCCCCTTTTGAATAGGCAATCTTGCATTCACGGGGGTGAATGCCTCTCATAAGTCAGCATTTTGATGACGAATTACGGTTATGCCAAAATCATATGGCCAAGAAGTCGGGCTTCTGTATACACTCTATTCTGTGACGATGTCCTGTGAAGTTGCACTGTTGCACATCTGGTATATTCTTCATCTGTGACGTTATGGTCATGAAAACACGAACTTTTGCACTTTTCTGCGGAAATCTAAATTTATGGATTAAACAATCAAGAGTATCATTGTTGAATGTTTAAAGTTGTAGAAAGCAATTAAAGTTGTAGAAAAGGTTTTGAAAGCATTTTTGAAAGCAAGACGTATTACCAAATGTCGAATTATCACGCGAGCGACACTTACTAGGAAGATGGCGACCGTTGGACAACTTTTTTACTGAAGGTTACACATCTGTTCTTAATCTATGGTAACGTGGACGAGAGGTCCGTATCGTGTGATATAATCTGTCGTCAACCAATCAGAAGGCTCCATCAATTTACGTTACAGATCTGGTATTACGATCCGGAAAAGATAAAGTAAGTTATTTTCTAAAAACAAACTTACCAAGGTTACACAATTATTTATTAATATTTTTTTTTTACTGGGAAAAGAGTAATTTAAGTTTTTATTTAAAATTATTTAATCAATCCCTGTGAAAAAGGAATACACAATATAAAATTTTTCAGGATTAACTTGTAATGTATGGTGATGTTCAGCCCTGGCAAATGACGTCACAGCGCTCAAAATTTTGACGTAATAGTGTGACTTCCACCATTTTGGGTGGCAAATGTTTAAATCTATATTAATGTACTGAGCACCTCGTGCAACCCAACATACAGTACATAGTAATTTGGTATTCCTGTATAATTTAATTCAGCTCAGAAAGTGAGTTATTAAAAATTAGAAGACTGTTCTTATCTTAGTTAACAAAACGATTTACAGTATATGCAGGTTGATTGAGGCAGATCATACAATTTATGGACATTCCTATACATTTAACCAATTTTAAATTATTCCCAGTATCGACACCTAAATTATTCCCAGTAATAACGTAGGGGGGGGAGGGGTGTGATGGTTGTTCAAAGCTGGGTGAGCGTTAACCCTCGCCTAATATTTAACCTGTTCTCTCTGTTAATGTAGAAATATTTCCCAAATTAAGCTAATTGGCTTTCGAACAACCGGCCCCTGAACTCTACTTCTAAGTAGTAAATAAAATAATAAACACAACTTCCAACAGTCTCAGTAATAACGTTTAGATCTCTACTTCTAAGTAGAAATTAAACTTCTAACAGTACTCTCAGTAATAATTTCCCAAATTAAGCTAATTGGCTTTCGAACAACCGGCCCCTGAACTCTACTTCTAAGTAGTAAATAAAATAATAAACACAACTTCCAACAGTCTCACCTAATAACGTTTAGATCTCTACTTCTAAGTAGAAATTAAACTTCTAACAGTACTCTCAGTAATACTAATAACGATTAGATCTCTAATAAATAATAAACACAACTTCCAACAGTCTCAGTAATAACGTTTAGATCTCTACTTCTAAGTAGAAATTAAACTTCTAACAGTACTCTCAGTAATACTAATAACGATTAGATCTCTACTTCTAAGAAGAAATTATTAATAAACTTCTAATAGACGTACGTCCGTAATAACGTATAAAACTACTTTTAAATATTAAATAAAGTAATAAACACAACTTTTAACTGTAATAGTAATAAGGTTTAGATCTCTACTTCTAAGTAGAAATAATTAATAAACTTCTAATAGTCTCAGTAATAACGTTTAAACTCTACTTCCAAGTTAGAAATTAAACTTCTAACAAACGTACGTCCGTAATAACGTATAAAACTACTTTTAAATATTAAATAAAGTAATAAACACAACTTTTAACTGTAATAGAACTTTTAACTGTAATAGTAATAAGGTTTCTAACAGTCCTAGTAGTAACGCACTCTTCTTCTGTGCTGTTCTTGATGAGACTTAAAGAACGTAATGAAATACTCGCTCCAACCTCCCTCGCGGACACGTAGTAGGTTGTATTTCTCTGGGTCTGTTACAGCGGCAGAGTACGTCTCCGGATCTGCACAGGTCACTACATTAAAAAGAGAACGTATTCGGATTTAAAGGTTAAGAGTGACATTTATCATTCACGAGTGGAGATCGTTTTGACTGGTAACACACTTTTTAATCAAGGACTTTCTTTTTTTCTAGCAAGAGAATTGAATCGTTTCAAGTATAAACCGAAGTGAAATCCAGTCTGTAGGTAATGGGTGAATAAAAGGCGCTTTTTGTTGACCAGATGATTAATTAAATTATAAAATAGAATACAAAAATGTCCATACCTTCTCATGATCCTATCAACATATATGGGGAATAAAATTCTGGTCTAACTGGTATAGGCAGAGGAACCAGGAGGGTAAGGGGATTAGCCCCCTTCCCCCAAAAAAGATCAGAGTGGATAGACTTAATATCAAGGTGGCAGATTCTTCGCTGCCTGAAATTTATAAAGAACAAAATAATCTAGTTTCTGCATGTCATATTCTCTCTAGAACGCAGGAAATGCCATTTAAGAAATTCTATATTTTAAACTGAATTTTCCGAGGGAGCCTGCCACAGATCCCCTAAGATTTATCTACCACACCACCCCCTCCCCCAAATCAAACCAAGCAGACCTTTTGCCATCGATGCAAAGATCCACAAAAGAAGTTCCCGAAAGGTTTGCGTAGCAACCCCGTTTTTGGGTTGGATTTAATAGTGTCATGTAGTTAATACAAACCGCATTCAGATAAAGTTCGCAGGATAACTAGACTGCCCACGTGGATGTATGTATATAATTCATAGGCGTATAGGAGAAAATTTCGGAACCGGGGGAAGGGAGGTGGAAGATATATATATGGGTGGATCGGACAACAAATTTGCCTGATCTAGATAAATTTCCCGACCAATACAATTTTTTTTTCTACATAAATTTATGTCGAGGGTGGGGATAGTGTGCAACCTCTTGTACGCCCACGACTATCTGCTTACCAGCCCCAAAAGATAAGAGACAGAAATATCAACATGTCGTAATAGCTCCAAATGAAAGGCAGTTTAAACAACCGTAGACGTTCGTTGACATACGAGATCTTATGGAAATTTGTATTTTCGTTTATGCCCAATGATTTATAATTATTTCACAACATAAAAATCGTTACACCTTCCTTGCCATGTCGGCCATGCCGAAACATGTAGCCCCTTAGCTTACAACAGACAGCTTAAAATAAACTTACCTGTCACAATATTCCCCCCAAGCTCTCCATCTTCGTCGGCAAATTTCCTTAAGAAGGTCACAAGATCATTCTTACTAAAGTCTTCTGCGATAACCAAGTCAATCTCGGCACCATTAGCCACACCAACGTTCAGGTCTCGGATATTCCAGCTTTCCATTGCCCTAAAGGATCGGCAAAAATACTTCATTACTTAAATAGTCTCCTTCGCAGACGTTGGGGATAGTTTGTAAGAAGAACAATGTTTTAACGATTAATTAGTTCCTTGTAACATCATAATATATAGAGAAGTTATGCAAAACGTTACGATATCTAAAAACCGTACACTTCAGGAAAAGGTAGTTGGTGGTATGGGGAGGTACGAAAATTGTGCTACAAAAATATGCCTTTCTCATTAATTCTCTAAATTGGGTTGCAAGCACTAAAACCATTACATCTGCGACAGGGTTCGAACACCTCGCCCCAACGTAACCAAGGTTGGGAGTTGTCCGAAGCAAATAGAACCGCTTCAGTATTGCAAAATAGAAGTTAGACTGCAAGACAACAGATTGCAAGCAATCCCCCCAGCTGATACACTTCGTATCATCTGCCCTATCTGCAGTCCAGATATGTCTCATCAGTCATTTTTGCACACATCGTTAGATTTTCGTTAGATACTATAATAATTTTGATGCGATTCAAGCGGTCTTCGTCGTCGAATGTAATGGGCAACACACATTGTTAAAATTGGGTATAACAGCTAGCGTTAGAGTTTTACACTTTTGCGATAGGGGATCGATTTCCAAAATGTGTATGGCTATTTGATTATAAATTGAAGTACTTCCAGTTTGAGTTTAGCAATGACGAAAAGTGGCTATTCCTCTGTGACAGTCCTCCCTGCGGATCCAGTAATGGCCATCTCCCTAAAAATAGAATTTTGGCCCACACTCACTCGTTTGGGGCTGGCTACGCCCCTGAGATGTCGACACGAAGCTACACACTATCGAATTGAATTGAATTGAATAGTTTGTTTAATAAAAACATCATCTGGCAGTCAGAAGACTGAATTACATGACGTTAAGTGTTACAGGGTTACAAATAGTAAAAAATTCTATATTACAATGCAATTTAGAAATTGTTAATATATACTATATATCATATACTTAAATGTACTAATCTATATGAGTTAAAAATTCTAAAATGTTCAAGGAACATCTGATTTGTAATGTTTCTTAGCATAAAAGTTGATAAAAGAGTTTCCGAAACGATTTGTACTTGCTGGTGAAACTTCAAAAGATCTTTCTTTTCGTAATTCTCTATTGCCTGCTTTGGATGGTAAAAGTTTGGCAAGTTTATGATCATCATTTAAAACAATGTCGTTGAAGAGATTATTGGATAGATACTCCCGTCTGTTTTCAAGAGTGGAAATACCAGCGATGTTAAGAGCCTCGTCCTAAGACAATTCATAGAATATTATTTTCATTGCTCGCTTCTGTATACGTTCAATGTTTTTTGCAAGATTTCGTGGCAGGGAACTATGGCATAATTGGCACGCATATTCGAGGACAGACCTTATACAGCTGCAAAAAAATTTGACCAAATCTGCCGAAGCGACATCAGCACGTTTGAGTTGCCTCAACAAATATAAACGTTTAGCTGCTTTGGAGACAATTGAATTTACATGGTCTATCCATTTAAGGTCATTTCTTAATATAACCCCAAGCGATTTGATACTTGTCACTCTTTCCAAATTTCGGTCACCAATACGTATAGGTTCAAAAACAGGTGGTAATCGTGAAAAGGATATTACCATTTCTTTGCATTTAAATGGGTTTAGTTGAAAGGAATTGTCCTTAGACCAAGTAGTAATTAATATCATCGATATCCATTTGTAAAGTACTTTGTTCGTTTTTTTCAACAATTCGTTCGTTTTATGTTCTAATAAATACCAAATTTCATGTATACTCATATTCAATAAACAATGGGATTGTCGCTGATCAGATGAAAATTGCCCGAGTTGTTCCAATTTATAAATCAAATGATCGTTTACAATTTAATAACTATAGACCTATATCTGTTTTACCCGCGTTTTCTAAGATTTTGGAAAGGATCATATTTCTTTTGAAAAGAAATTTACCATTGGAATTTTTTTAGACCTTTCGAAAGCTTTTGATACAGTTGACCATGAGATTCTGTTCAACAAACTTGAACATTATGGATTTCGTGGAACTACTCTGGATTGGATAAAAAGTTACTTTTGTGACAGGAACCAATTTGTACAATATAATAATCATTGTTCTGATTTTAAAAAATATGCTGTGGGGTTCCTCAAAGTTCAATTTTAGGCCCACTGTTTTTCTTAATCTATATAAATAATATATGTAATGTCTCTAAAACACTCGAACTAATTCTGTTTGCGGATGACACTAATGTTTTTTATTCACATGAAAACTTTGAATATTTAGTTAATTCTCTTAATGCTGAAATTGACAAACTGTCGGATTGGCTCAAGGTTAATAAATTGACTTTGAATTTGGTGAAAACAAAATACATCTTATTTAAACCTAGACAAAAGGGCCAAAATATGACTGCTGAGTTATTTATTGATAATCAACAAATAAATCAGGTCCAAGAAACTTCATATTAGAAACTTATATTTTCAGAACTAGCTTCTACCTTCTTAAATCATCATTAAAAATGTTATATTATACATTGGTTTATCCCTATCTTCAATATTGTAATATTGTTTGGGCTTAACCTACCCATCAAATCTTAATCGCATTGTTATTCTGCAAAAACGAATTGTTAGAAAAGTAAGTAAAGGTAAGTTTGATTCTCATACCGATCCCTTCTTTAAAGAACTCAAACTGTTAAAATTCCATGACATTTGAAAACTTCAGTTGGGTGAATTTGTTTCTTCATGGAAAAACAATACTCTTCCGGACAATTTTAAAGATATGTTTGTATCTAATGAACAAATGTTCGGCCTTAAAAGAAGTTTAAGGAGTGCCAAAAGTCTGAGAATACCATTTTCCAGAACGAGATTAAAACAATTCTCAGTTCGATTTCAAGGTCCTAAATTTTTTAATTCTCTCCCGGTTGAAATTACAACTGCATCTTCTTCAAGCAATTTTAAGTCCAAACAAGACGCTGACTCGGCGTTAACCTCGGGTCGGTGGATAAGGCATCGTCTGGTAAATATGCAAATATAGTGTAAATCACGATAGTTTAATAGTTCACTAGTATAAATGTTGAATCAGTCAATCAAAGCTCCGTTTTAACATTTTCCCCGAGCCGACGGCGCGAAGCGCCGTGCAAGGGTACTAATTCCCCCCGGCTATTTACACCCGGGGAAACGAAAGCATTAGCGGAGTCTAAAGTTCATCAAATATCGCGGGCGTGGGTCACCAACGGTGTTGGGTGGGTGGTCATCCTCACTGACCTCAAAAATATGACGGACTGTCATGAATAGCGGACACTGATTGGTCCAATTTAAAGTTTGCATTATAACGACTGCATGACGACAGCGAAATAGCAAACATTTCTAGATTTGATGATTCATGATTGATAAATTTCTTGCGAATATATTTCATTTTAATCGCATTTTTGCAATATTTTGCAAATTTCAAAAGCTCTCTCAGAAACTAACTTCGAAAGAATCGGCTAAAAGAAGGAGCCGACGTTAACGAAGGTAAGTTTGTTTTAAATATTGATTTTATAATGGCTTTAAAACCCGACGACCCGAGCGACGGCCTTTGCGTATATGAAACAACTAAACAAGACAGAATATAATTTCGCTCAGTGTATCTTTAATATTGATTCACTTTTTTATTATATTGAATTATTTAAATAAAAAAGAAAGCAAAGTTATTTGCAAGCGAGAATTTGAAATCATTTTATTGCAACTCAAAGTTTATCGATAAAGCCATTTAATTAAAGGCAGTTTGGTTAAACAGCACTTTAAAACGTTTTGCGAAGCGTTTGTGGTTGAATTTTACCTTATATTGAGGCTTATATTACGTATAATAACATACCTAACATATGTATGTTGGGAAATTAATAATTTTGTAATTAAAAGTGATATTTTTAGGCGATTTGTCATTTGTAAGAATATTCTTAAAGAATTATCGTATTACCATGACAACTAGTTTAGAACCTCACGTTCGGAAAATACAATGGTTTTGTCAGGAAGGCGAGGGTTTCTGCATGCATGTATTTTCTAGTATTGATAATAATTGCCCATGGGTAAAAGTTTATACAGCATTATTAAAAATAATGCCAGCATATGCACACAGAATTATTAGCAATAATGCATCTTCGTCACGCTGACATGTACACGCGATAACGTGAACATCTCAAGATGAGAAGGTGACAGTGCTAAAGGCCCCTCATGCGGTATCATCGGGTGCCTGAAGCACTGCCAAAAACAGTCACCTTGAGTCCTTTCAGTTCAATTTTATAGAGAAAGAGTTTTGTTTGCGCTTGTGGGATTTTATCCTAGATATGAGCATGTGCGGAACACACCATAAGTTATTTTCCCGTGTTTATCCAGTTTAATACGCTCTTTGAATTAACCTTATCATTAATGATAATATGTAAACTAGAACACTGTAATTGACCTCCGCTAGTTCCGCTTGTGGAGATTTTAATTTAGGGCGATTAATTACTTCGGCCAACTGCATGGCATTATTGGATATATTGCAGCCAGCTTCGGCGTTCGGCCTCCGGCCTCAGGTGGCTGCAATATATCCAATACAACATGAGCTCCACCTTTGAATTTACTATATGAGTAAATTCTTAAACACGTCCGAATTTATCATTATGATAAATTCGCGGCACATTTTGAATTTATCAATAGAGTTAATCATAAAACCACAATCATTGCACAAGGTTTCTTGTTATAAATGTAATGGCACTAAAAGGTAGGCTGGTCGCGCGGGGGTGGCACGTTTTTCATGTTTTTTTAAAAAATAGTTTTTAAAAAAGTTTTAAAAAGTTTTAAAAGAGTTTTGAAAAGCAAAAAAAGTTTAAAAAGTTAGATTTTTAAAAAAGTTAAAAAAATTTAAAAAGTTAAAAAAATGAGGGTTAGGGGTTAGTGGTTAGGGGTTAGGGGTTAGGGTTAGGGGTTAGGGGTTAGTGGTTAGGGTTGGGGTTAGGGTTAGTGTTAGGTGCCGCGAATTCATTATTATGATAAATTCAAAATTTGCCGCGAATTTATCATAATGATAAATTCGGACGTGTTTAAGAATTTACTCATATAGTAAATTCAAAGGTGGAGCTCATGCTGATCCAATAATGCCGTTGGCCTCAATAATTATCTAATAAATAGTTAAATACAGGAACAATTTAGAGAATTTACTGACGCAATTATTTAAC